CGCCTCCAGCTTTTTCTATACATTGATAATAGAGAATAGTTTTGCATAGTTCTGAACCTTTTATACTTCTCTTTTATCAATTTTATGATCAATATTTGATTTTATTACTACAGAATACAGATCATGAGTAAGGTTGGTTTAGATCTAGTCTTCTTTTCTCTTACATGACATTACCCAAAGTCTGGCATATATCATAATGTAGCTGGATTTAGAGAAATCTCTTTGACAGACATAATGGTTGTCTGGCTGGCATATAAATGCATGGGAAGATGAGTTTCCTCCAAAGTAAATATTTATGTAATTGTTTGGTAACCACAAAAAGGAGGAAGTCACTTACCTTCCCCCCAGGTAAGTGGAACTTCTTATGTTCAAACAAACAAATATTGGCAATTTGTCTTCTCATATCTACCATACAAGCACTTAAAACCCAAAGTACTAGATGTAAATTTTCTGCACCAATGCAAGAGATGTTCAACCCATGTGACTTCTTTTGGGTACACTATTTGAAATCTTGATGTTTTTGGGTTGTTAGATAATCTAGTGTTACTCATAGTTGAAATGGTTCTATTGATTGTGGTGAATTTAGGACACAATAATATTGCGAAGTTTGTATTGTTGATTGTCCTCTTGAACTGATAGTAAATTATTAATCATTGGCATACCCGATCGATAAACTCCTACAGTCATGGTTTGGGTTGTAATACTGATAATTTTCAACAGAGTTTTGAATTATTGAGTTTAGTCCATACAAGAAGCTACAGAATACCGTCTTGAAACATCATATCTTGCCTTTTGTTGCCAAAATTCTTTATTAACCATCTTGCACTATATCATAGGAGTGAAATTTTTTGTACTAGTATTTTTTGATAATATTTCTGCATTGTGAATGTTTTATGTTTTGACATTTTTTCACGCTCTAGATTTGACAGTGTGGCCTTGTGGATGCTTCTGGATGCTAGAGAAGTTGGGCAAGAAAACTCCTATTGATTCAGGCAGCCACTCGTCTACCTCAATAGTTAGATGATGACTACCAATTGTAATGTGTGTACATAGGAATTTATATCATTTTGTACATCCAAGATCGTTCTCTGACTGTGGGTTGTTAAAGCTGAAGCTGATTTTCTACCGGCCATTCTGTCCTCACTTGCCAATACTTATCTCACTTGCTATTGCATCTGTTGTCTAAGAAAGTAGGTTAGAAGTGAATTACTGAATAGGTTATACGCCTGCAAGTATCAGACAAGTATTCTATGAGAATGCAACAGGCCATGCCGTCTTCTCTGATATCTGAATTTCGAGTGAAAGATGGATGGTGATACTTGTCTTATACTGTTAGGATTCTTAGGAGAACAAAATGCTCCCCTTTGTGTGGTAGTTTTCTTAGTATACCTTTGGTCTTACAACCTACATTGTGAAATGAGATCCTTGTACAGTTGAGGAATGTAACTATTTCTGATTGTGTTAGTAATGACAAATGATATCATAACTTTGCCTCTATATAATTTTTGTTTCCATTAAAAATATCCTAATCTATGTCCATCTTGAAACAGTAATCGAAAAATCATATTTGGATATTCTCGAGAAATATATTCTAATTGTCCTAATGCAATGCGTAACCCCCTCTAATACTCTATTTAATTCAACTTATTTTATTTGAATTTATATTATTCAAATTGAACTTATTTCACTGTAGTATGCCTGGAGGGATCTAGTAGCAAAGATTTAAGCTTCTTCCTTGCAAAAAACTGTTGCATCGTTCATTAAGACCCATTCAATGCCCTTATTACTCTTATTCTTCCATTTTCTCTGTTTCTAAGCCCCTTCTTGAATACATACTTAACTACCCCTTTTCATGCTATTTGATAATCCCATTTTTATTCTCTATTGCTCAAGGACTCGTAGAAATTGGGCACAAGATCTTCAGGTCTTCTTGGGCCTCCTTGTTACTTTTCACCATCCCCATGGTTCCTAGTTTTTGTGTGTCCATATTGCTCATAAGGAGGCCACCACTGTGTGCATGCTATTTATTAGGCTTTTCTTCCACATGTATTTTATAATTTTTGATAAGCATGGGGGATCTATGACCAAAACTCCTCCCTTCCAAATATGGGAAGCAAAGGGACGTTTTGTGCAAATGTGATTCTTATCTACTTTACCAATATCACACAATGGACACATATTTTGCACCAGAATTTCTATTTTCCTGAGATTAATATTCAGCATCAAGGCTTTCATTGAAAGCCTCTAGATATGTAATTTTCAAGTGGGGTAGATAGGTAATCTCCAAAGCATCTTTCAAAAGTTCCCAGATTTATCACTTCCCTTGGATTTCAATATTTCTTTTGTAAATATGCATACTAGGAATATTTGTCCTCGTTATCCTTTTAGAGGGATGAACATTATTTGATTACACTGGTATGATTGACTTTAGGAATTTGTTTAACTCACTTTAGTGGAGTATGCTTCTGTTGTAAATAAGGATTTCTTTGACTAGAAAGCTACGAAAATAAACAGAATAATCGGAAAATTTGTCAAATTAAGCTCGTGTTAGAAATTATTTACCAAAGTAAATGCGTGGCAAAACTATTTACCAAACTAAGCTTCTAGGGTAAAACGCCATCCAGGGTGGCGTGCGTTTTTACCCTGGCCTTTTTTTTTACAAAAATTTCAGTTTAAGGTAAAACGCCAGCCTGGTTGGCGTTTTACCTTTGACTGAAATTTTCTTAAAAAATTTGGCCAAAGTAAAACGCCAACCAGGCTGGCGTTTTACTCTCAGACATAGCAACCAACCACACTTCCTCTTACATTTAAGATGAAGAACATTCTCATTCGATGTCACCGTGGTGTAGAACTGATTCCGTTGTATGGAATACAGTTTCACCATTTCTTGGAGCACTTTCTTACTGTCGAAAAGCATGCCCTTCTCAAATTCTCCCCCGAAAACAAACGAAGTCTGGCTCCCCGAATTAGCCCAATACATGTCCACCTCATAGTTCTCGTTTATTGAGTGAACCAAGACAATGGAGTTCTAGCCACAGCATCATCAACAGACAATTCGTTGTTTATAACATTTTCCTCATCTGCGCCCTCACCCTCGTCATTTGTATCCTCATACATATCAAGAACAGACAATTCGTTGTTTACAACAGGTTCAACATTCACCAAAGTTTGAGACGGTGTTGCTTGAACATGTTTTTGCGTAGGAGAGTAACTGTGCAACTGCATCGGTGATGAAATGTCATTGTTTGAGGTAGATGGACTAGGTTGCTGCAACATTGACACCGATGCTCCTTCATGTACGGGTGCAGTAAAATGTGAACTGAATGGAATGTCAAATTGATCGTCGTGTAACATTCTACTGAAAAATCCCATTCCATATTCAAATGACGGAATGTTGTATGAGGGCATCTGTAACGAGCTTGTATTGTATGAGGGAAGATATATAGGTTGTTGCTCTGTCAAGCGAATAGTCGGTTGAGTACATATAGGTACCATTTCCACATATAAATCAGTGGGAAGAGACCTCATTGCAACGACACCCCTCAAAACCTCCAAATGGTCGTCATTCAAAACAGGTAAGATTTGAACCCCACTGACACTCTCAAACCTCATTTTAATGTTCAGTTCAACATTCGTTGGGTTTGAACCAGTTATAGTATAAACCTTCTTCAACAAATCATTGTAAGTCATACAAGGTTTCAATGCCGAGGGTTCCATTTTCCCTCCTCTATACTCGACGTTCGATCCGACACACAAAATTTCACTCCCCCAACGGCATAACAAAACAATCAATTGTGAAGTCATGTTCTACATAACAATTGGAACACATATTAGATGACACAAATACACAACACAACTAACTAAAACCACAATGATTCCGTTAAATCCTCAAGCTAAGTGTATATACAACTTAGTGTTCAACAATGTACTTTTTACCTAGTTAATCAACAATGTAGTATATATTTAAATGTACCTAATTCAACAATGTAGTTCATAAACATACTTGAAATTTACACACTAAGTATGAAGAATAATGTATACTTCATATACATGATTTGAAATTAGACATCGTACATATAAACATACTTAATTTCAATAATTAAACAACAATGTATTATTTAGTTATACTTATTTCGCATACTTGAACAACAATATAGTACATACATTGTAAATTACAAACATAAATTCCCAAAAAATATCATAAACAAGTAAAATAGTTAATTTCAATACATACCTCAAATTCGATCAATGTAGTGCGTAAAAGTGTTGAACAAAGAAGGAGGAATAATTTGTAATGACTATGATGAAGATCTAAGCAATGGGATGTGATGAATTTGCTGCAAATATGGAGGATTGGGCGAGCGAAGTGGCGCGGGTTAGGGTATCGAATTTGGGGGTTTTTGAGTTTTGAAGAACAATGAAAAAAAAAGAAGCTCGCTGGGAAAATATACCCGATACAAAAACGCCAACCTGATTGGCGTTTTTGGTATAATTGTAAAACGCCAGCCTGGTTGGCATTTTACTTTTGCCACATTTTTTAAGAAAATTTCAGTCAAAGGTAAAACGCCAGCCAGGCTGGCGTTTTACCCTAGGCTGAAATTTTTTACAAAAAAAGCCACCCCGGATGGCGTTTTACTAGACCTGATCAAGTATGGCCCGACCCGGTTTTGGGCGGGCTTTGGACATAAATTTTCGGCCCGAAATCAGGTTGGGCCCGGCCCGAAATTTTTATTTTTTTGGGCGGGTTTGGGAATGCGTTTTTAAGCATATTTAGTTGACTTTTTAGGCCTGGCCCGAAAATGGCCCGTAAAGCCCGCACAGCCCGACCACTTTGGGCGGGTTTGGGCACAAAAAATTCGGCCCGGCCCGCCCAATGATCACCTCTACGTTTTACCCAGTAAGCATAGTTTGGTAAATAGTTTTGCCACATGTCTACTTTAATAAATAATTTCTAACAAAAGCTTAATTTAGCAAATTTTCCAGAATAATCCTTATAAAGCCCTTGTTTTGTGGTTGATAAAGATGAATCTTTTTTTCACTAACTTATTATTAGGCTGCTTAGTTTTGCTACGGATGTGCTTGACAATATAACTTTAGGAAACTCTCCAACAGAGACCTCTGACATCTCCTATTATCATTCTTAGCTTCTGACTGTAAAAATGAGCTCCAACACAAGCTTTACTTAGAGATCGATCCCAAAAAAAAAAGGTACCCTATCTAAATCTTTCTACAACAATCAAACAAAAAAAACTCCCTCTTACCTTTTTTCCTCGTCATTCCCTCCTGAAGCTTTGACCTAGCCGACGCCGCCGTAGATCCTCCGGCCATCAAAAACTCCTACGCAACCTCCGACGACCGCCGATAAGGTATGTCTGCCGTCCGACCGGCGACGGTACTTTGTGTTTTCTTTTTTATTCTTGAATTCGTATTCCGTTTGGGATTTTTTTTTGTTGATTTCGTATTTCTTCTACTTCTACTTCATGAATTCGTATTCCGTTTGGGATTTTTTTTTTTTTTTTTTTTTTTATTGAATTCGTATTTTGAATTGTAAATTGCACCCAATGTTCAAGATTAGTTGCTTGAAAGCACCAAAACTGCTGCAGAGTAGATTACCAAATTAGCAGGATATATAGTACATACCAGCTTTGGCTTAAGATTATAAAGATTCAATTTTTTTTAGGCAAGGGAGTTCCAGCTGTTTGAGTGGATATGACATAACTGTGGCATATAATTTTAGAGTTTACTTTACCTTAACTTTACCTTTGAATGTGTTATAAACTTATAATGCATATTTTAGAGAACTTGATTATTAAAGTTAGTTTTTTAAGAACACAATTAATGGGGCTTACTTTTGGAGAACTCATTTAATCAAGCATATCATTGGAGAATTTACTTTACTGCTTTTTCATCAGATGCCAAAGCAAAATCCCAGAGAACTGAATCCTTACATGAGGAACAATGGAAGTGGCTATCCTGATGATGAAGAGCAAATAAAGTCCAGCAAGGATCAACTTTTGTCATCTTCTGTAGTGGGGGATGGTGGAGCAAGCTGGAGAATGAAGGCTTTGAAGCGTGCGCAGGAGCAAGCAACACGTGAAGGGCGAAATGTTAAAGAGGTATGTTTGCACCTCCATAAACTTTGAGGGTCATGTTAATTTTTAGCCAAAATTTTCTCTGATATTAAGTATGTCAACTATTTTTCAGGTTGTTCAAGAAAGGTGGGGATCTCTTGGTCATCTTGCAGCATCTGTGGCATCTCAGAGTGCTGCTGCTCCTCGTGCTCATTTGCCTGCTATAAATTCTCGAAGGATGGGAGCATGTGGGGAAGCGAAACCAGGCTCAAACAATAAAAGTAGAAGGGGTACTAAAAAGGTGAGTTGTTAATTAACACATGTTACTGACTAACTCATTGCCTAGTCTTAACGTTGATTACGAGTTTCTTTATATATTCTGTTAGTCATACCACTGTATGATGGACTGCTAGCAACAACACATAACAGAATAATAATACTAGTTTGCAGAACAAAATAAAGAGAAAGATGGAAGCTTTTTGATTACTAATCTAGTCAAGCACAACTCAAATATAGAGATACTACAGAACAGTACAATAGAGAAGAAAGACTAAGACTTTGATAAACAGAACACAAACTACACAATCAATAGGTTTAGCCTATCAAGCTTCATAGTGAATTTAGCTCACAACACTCTAAATAATGGCTTTAGGCCATAACTCTCTCAAGGATTCTCACTAAATTTCTGCCTAACCTTTTTTTTTCTTCTCTCCTCTCTCTATTTATACTAAAACTAAGTACTATTAACCTAACATAACAACAATACTAGGCTACCAATATTGCCCCTACTTAGACTAGTCTATTACACACTACACTGTGTTTGATGCTGTGAGTTCACTTCAAATTGGTCTTGCTTAAGTTGGTGGCACAATTCATATACTATGACCCATCTTTTTGTACTACTTTATATATACACTCCCTCCATTATCTAATAGTTGAACCACTTTGAATTTGTACACTTTGCATGTACTTTGATCATATTTTTCTATTAACTTATAAAACAATTTTTATAGTGTAATATGTCAATGAATTTGTCTTAATGTGTATTTTCTAACATTAATTGTTTTTATAATTATTAAAAAAATATTTAAAGATATTAGTAGTCAAAGCTCTACATTGATAAATGTGCCCCAGTCAAAGTGAAACAACTAACAAATTAAAAAGGGAAATTAGAATATTAAAAATGTAGGTGTTTTTTTTTCAAATTATCATTTTTTTTATTTCAATTGTATAATTAGAATTGTTGATTGAAGAAGTGCATTGTTATGCTCATAAGTTAAACAGCTGCCTCTATTTTATAATAGAGGAAGTATTACTGGTGACATTATATATCATGTCACTGTTGGATTGTAATAGTGTCAAGATTTTCAGGTTTCAGGAGCAGGAAAAAATCAAACACTTGCTGCTTGCAGCAAGAGGCCGAGGACAGTAGACAAGTATTCAGCATTTAATTTGCCTATTCCCAGCGAAATTATTTATCATATATTATTACTCTTTCCTGCTTCAGTTCTTCAGGAGATTGTGAGGTTCGTTTGCAAGGAGTGGAATGCTATAATCAATGACCCGCTCTTTATTAGAGCCCACCTGCTTCAGTCCTTGTCATCTCCTGCTACTACTGGTTTCCTTATTCAAGACAACAACCTGCATGATGCTAAGCTAAAGCGGGCCTTTTACGTTCACCCATATGATCGTGCTATCAGTATACTTAAGCTTCCATTTGAAGCCACAATTTTGGGTTCTTGTAACGGTCTACTCTTGCTTCAAAATGCCATCGTTCCAAAAAAATTGTTTGTAGTGAATCTCATAACTAAAGCGCACATCAGTCTCCCTCCCCTGCCCCTCACCGTGCCAAGGGCAGTTGTTCATCCTAAACCTTTGGTTCATCATAAACCTTCTGCTGTTCTAGCATTTGTGCCTTCTTCAGGTCAATACAAAGTCTTATATGCTTGTTTCGTCTCCGAATATGAACATCCACCATATCTTGAACCTGGGAAATTCAAACTTATGGTATGGACAGTAGCTGTTGATGAAACTTGGAGGGCCATTGACTGTCAAGGCATTACTATGAGTAATGAGGCAAAGAAGACACTATTGAGTCACCCGTTTTCTATTGCAGGAGGGTATATCTATTGGTTTCAAACAGATCACTATCTTGGTTTTGCCTTGGATATAGATGCTGAAACCATGTATCAATTTGCGGGGCCAGTGTATCAATTTGCGCCAAAAAATCGTACAATGTACTTCAGTCGGACTTGCTGTATACCGATGGACACCGGTGCGGGTATAATACATATGCGAACCCCTCCTAAGTGTTGGAAAGTCTGGGAAATGATAGAACCGAAAACTGGTCCTTGGGGTAGATGTACAAATATCGATTCAGCTGGTATGTATTCGGCGCTTGATAGACATTTCCTTCCTTTAAGGTTTGGAGGCGCTATACCTCTTTTTATTAGTTTGAAAACTGGAGAGTTTTGGTTATCTGGCAACGTGAGGTCCACGTCTAGCACTACTGTAGCGTTGGTTTGTTACAATTGGAAGACGGGGAGTATTTGGTCATCTCCAATTAAATGGCAAAGACATTTTGACCTCCCACTTCTCCACGTAAACAGCTTGCTATCACTGAAGAATCTCTAGTTGTGGATAGGGGTGTTCAACAACTGGTCCAGACCCGAAAAAATGGACCAAATTGGACCATACTGACCTCGGACCCCTACCGGTCCGGTCTTCGGGTTGAGAAATTAATTTTTTCGGTCTTCGGCCCGGTTCGGTCCAAAATCCTATAAAAACCAATCTTTGACCAGATCCTTTTTTTGCTTAAAACTATGCATAAAATATTTAAAATAATTAATATTGTTCTTAATAAGTTAGGAAAACTATAAGTTTATGAGTTTTTTAGTATTAGATTTACAAAAAAAAGGGAATAAAATGAATTTTCCTTTATTTTTTTGCATTTCATAGTATAATTAAAAGGAATTTAAAATATTACAAGCATATTCTAAAACTTGTTTGAATCGGTTTGGTCGTCAGTTCTTAAAATTTAATTTTCTAGTCTTCAGTCCGGTTTTGGACCGATGAACAACTCTAGTTGTAGAAAGGCAATCACCGTGTGAAGTGCAAGTGTTGTGTAGTTCTATGGATACATGCATGTGGGACTGAAGACTCAATAATTGACGTTTATGTTAATTTTATTCGTGTTCCCTCCCCTCCAACTTTTTGTTCAGGTCACTTGGACCTAATGTTGTATAATTTGATGTAGACTTGATTGACATCATCATATAAGTTATTTGTACTTCTCTTCCCCCATTTGTTGTAACTGATCACATTGTACTTATCAATTCAATGTTTGTGGAATGAAGATTCTTTTGAATGATATCTTAATTTATTTTACTCCTTTTCTCACTTCAAGAAGACCAAAACGGGGGCATTTAGTAAAAAAGCAATAGAACATTTGCACACAGGTGTGTTGGTGTATATATAGTATGCATATGATTTAATTTCTTGGTCGATGCTGGCTAGAATGAGTTCTTATATGTCTTCTGCCACCCTATACAGTCTTGGAGGATCGAATGTGTTTCAAGAAATCATTAGGCGATTCCATTATTAATTGTTAGTTGTTAGTTATTCATTATTCATTAATAATTATTTATTATTCATTTTTTTTTGAAAGGAAAAATAATTCATTCATAGAAGAGACATATTACATCAATAATATAGAGAAAAACTAGCAAATATGATACAAATTGAATCAAATAATATTCTAATTGGACAAGACTACTATCGTCGTAAATAAGATTTGAAAATTCTAAATGCCCTCTTTCACACCGTTGTTTGATACAGCCTTTCACGAGGGGGTCTTCCGATCTATTTTAGTTTCGCAATTGGAAAACATTCGATGCAATTGATTGCAGATGTAGAATTAACCTCCATAGTGACATAACACAAATCTTCATCAATAAATCAACTTTCCTAAACTCTTATAAAGAGAGAATTTAACTTGATATACAGGTAGATATAACCCGATATACGAGCAGAAAACTCTCAAATAAAGAGAGATTAATTATTGTAAGCGTAAATAAAACAAGTAAAACTAAAAGATTAGGGGCTTACCATCAACCAAAAGGTTGGTGGTAGCCCCTAGAAAAATTTAGGGTTTGTTCAGGTTTTGAGGGGGAAGAGTGAGAAGAGAGAAAAAAATTCTATTAATTATTCATTATTCATTATTCACTATTAATTATTAACTATGAACTATGAACTATTAATTATTAACTATGAACTATGAACTATTAATTATTAATATTGTGTATAATTGTGGATACGAAATTTTCAATGCTATAATGAAGCCACTTGGAGGGTTTAGGGTTTAGGGTTCAGGGTTTCAAGGTTCAGGGTGTATGTCTGAGACTTGGTTAGGAGTGTTAACGAGCCGAGCCTGCTCGTGAATGTCTGAAACTTGGCTCGATCGAAGCTCGATATATGCTCAGCTTATGACTCAGCCCAAAATCTTAATGAGCCAAGAGCTATCCTTTGCTCAGCTTGAAGGCTGAAGCTATACATATATATATATTTGTAATAAATTAATTATTAGCATAAACAAATTTTCATATATAAGGGTAGGGACTAAAATTAATCTTAGGAACTCTCTAGTGTTGAACTTTCCTTGATAATTTTTGTTTACATAGAAGAACCAACAAAAAAAAGAGGAGGACAGAAGTAGTCCCACATTGAAAGATAGGAGCAAGTGATAGGATATGATAGTTGTAAAAGCAAACTTTGATGGTCCTAGAAACAATGACTATAGTCACCATTTGGGCCTTGGTTAAATGGACTAAATACTAAAGTATAGCTATATTATATGATAAAAGAATTAAAATTTTACTTTATCCAAATTTTGTTGGGCTTGACAAGCCTTGGTCGAGCCTCAAGACAAGCCGAGCCTTTAGGAGTGTCTAGCTCAAGCTGAACCAAACTAAAGGATTGTCCAGGCACAGTCTTGGCTCGGCTTGTTAACACCCCTACACATGGCTAGTTTGATGAGGCACAACTTTTAAAAAAAAAATAATGCTATTTTAGGAAAAAAAATTCGTAAAAAAGGCTTGGATATGAGTTTTAAAAAGTTCAAATAAGGATAAGGGAATCACATGATTGTAAGAGGAAGGTGTGGAAAAGAGAGGAGGGGGAGAATAGGTGGAAGAGGAGAAAAGGTCAAAGGAGAAAGAATTTCGTAAAACCCGACAGGAAAAAGTGAGAATTGTGATATAAGAGGATAATAAAGGCAAAGAGAGTGAAAACGAGCAAATCAAAGAGTAGATTTGACCTCGAAAGCTTAATTGACAATGAACTCTAACACATTAGGTGAAGAAAACCACTAAAGACTACTGCCAACAATATCAGTCGTATCTGGAAACCACCAATTTCCCAATTGCTTCACAACTAACAAATTAGGGTTTTCTATCAATCTATGATTAGGGCTTTTAAATTGGAGGTTCAATTGAACTGAAGAAATTAATTGAGGGCTTTTGCTCAAATTATCCTCCTCGAGACTTAAGTAATGTTTAAATTGAAAAAAGAATTGGTCTTTTTTTTTTTATGATTTTGTCTCATTGTTTCTCTTAAATATGAACATGAGGCGGCCCGTATTGCACATTGGTTGATGCGTGCAACATTTATAATGCACTGCGCTTGCAAGGGCAAGGGAATTGTGGCTTGCACTTGGCACCTAGGCACACCCAATGCACTCTTTTAAAACTAACCTAAGGGGGATTTTTGAAGGTGGTCTTTTGGGGTTGGGACAAACATAAACAGCAGCCGAAAAAGAGATGAAGAAAGAAAATAACACTCTTGCTTGCAAATAGTGTGCAATAGGTGAAGGACCTTTTCACCAACCCCGCCCCCACACAAAGTGAAAGGAATGTTCATCCCTCTAAAAGGATAACGAGGACAAATATTCCTAGTATGCATATTTACAAAAGAAAGATTGAAATCCAAGGGAAGTGATAAATTTGGGAACTTTTGAAAGATGCTTTGGAGACTACCTATCTAGCCCACTTGAAAATTACATATCTAGAGGCTTTCAATGAAAGCCTTGATGCTGAATATTAATCTCAGGAAAATAGAAATTCTGGTGCAAAATATGTGTCCATTGTGTGGAATTGGTAGCGTAGATAAGAATCACATTTGCACAAAGCGTCCCTTTGCTTCCCATATTTGGAAGGGAGGAGTTTTGGTCATAGATCCCCATGCTTATCAAAAATTATAAAATACATGTGGAAGAAAAGCCTAATAAATAGCATGCACACAGTGGTGGCCTCCTTATGAGCAATATGGACACACAAAAACTAGGAACCATGGGGATGGTGAAAAGTAACAAGGAGGCCCAAGAAGGCCTGAAGATCTTGTGCCCAATTTCTACGAGTCCTTGAGCAATGGAGAATAAAAATGGGATTATCAAATAGCATGAAAAGGGGTAGTTAAGTATGTATTCAAGAAGGGGCTTAGAAACAAAGAAAATGGAAGAATAAGAGTAATAAGGGCATTGGATGGGTCTTAATAACGATGCAGCAGTTTTTTGCAAGGAAGAAGCTTAAATCTTTGCTACTAGATCCCTCCAGGCATACTACAGTGAAATAAGTTCAATTTGAATAATATAAATTCAAATAAAATAAGTTGAATTAAATAGAGTATTAGAGGGGGTTACGCATTGCATTAGGACAATTAGAATATATTTCTCGAGAATATCCAAATATGATTTTTCGATTACTGTTTCAAGATGGACATAGGTTAGGATATTTTTAATGGAAACAAAAATTATATAGAGGCAAAGTTATGATATCATTTGTCATCACTAACACAACCAGAAATAGTTACATTCCTCAACTGTACAAGGATCTCATTTCACAATGTAGGCTGTAAGACCAAAGGTATACTAAGAAAACTACCACACAAAGGGGAGCATTTTGTTCTCCTAAGAATCCTAACAGTATAAGACAAGTATCACCATCCATCTTTCACTCGAAATTCAGATATCAGAGAAGACGGCATGGCCTGTTGCATTCTCATAGAATAGCTTGTCTGATACTTGCAGGCGTATAACCTATTCAGTAATTCACTTCTAACCTACTTTCTTAGACAACAGATGCAATAGCAAGTGAGATAAGTATTGGCAATTGAGGACAGAATGGCCGGTAGAAAAGCAACTTCAGCTTTAACAACCCACAGTCAGAGAACGATCTTGGATGTACAAAATGATATAAATTCCTATGTACACACATTACAATTGGTAGTCATCATCTAACTATTGAGGTAGACGAGTGGCTGCCTGAATCAATAGGAGTTTTCTTGCCCAACTTCTCTAGCATCCAGAAGCATCCACAAGGCCACACTGTCAAATCCAGAGCGTGAAAAAATGTCAAAACATAAAACATTCACAATGCAGAAATATTATCAATTTAAATACTAGTACAAAATATTTCACTCCTATGATATAGTGCAAGATGGTTAATAAAGAATTTTGGCAACAAAAGGCAAGATATGACGTTTCAAGACGGTATTCGGTAGCTTCTTGTATGGACTAAACTCAATAATTCAAAACTCTGTTGAAAATTATCAGTATTACAACCCAAACCATGACTGTAGGAGTTTATCGATCGGATATGCCAATGATTAATAATTTACTATCAGTTCAAGAGGACAATCAACAATACAAACTTCGCAATATTATTGTGTCCTAAATTCACCACAATCAATAGAACCATTTCAACTATGAGTAACACTAGATTATCTGACAACCCAAAAACATCAAGATTTCAAATAGTGTACCCAAAAGAAGTCACATGGGTTGAACATCTCTTGCATTGGTGCAGAAAATTTACATCTAGTACTTTGGGTTTTAAGTGCTTGTATGGTAGATATGAGAAGACAAATTGCCAATATTTGTTTGTTTGAACATAAGAAGTTCCACTTACCTGGGGGGAAGGTAAGTGACTTCCTCCTTTTTGTGGTTACCAAACAATTACATAAATATTTACTTTGGAGGAAACTCATCTTCCCATGCATTTATATGCCAACCAGCCAGCCATTATGTCTGTCAAAGAGATTTCTCTAACTCCAGCTACATTATGATATATGCCAGACTTTGGGTAATGTCATGTAAGAGAAAAGAAGACTAGATCTAAACCAACCTTACTCATGATCTGTATTCTGTAGTAATAAAATCAAATATTGATCATAAAATGGATAAAAGAGAAGTATAAAAGGTTCAGAACTATGCAAAACTATTCTCTATTATCAATGTATAGAAAAAGCTGGAGGCGGACTAGAATGGACTCTCATGCAAGAATAACACTTGAAAAAATGAAATTCAAAATAGGGAATTT